TCCTTGTAAGGGTCTATATCCCTCATTAACCTTTCAAGGAACCACCTCCAAGAATCAGTCTTCTCAACTTCTACATATGCCATTGCAATTGGTAGCATATTGTCATTTCCATCTCTACCAACTGCTGAAAGAAGTTGACCACCATGAAGAGTCTTCAGAAAGCATCCATCAAGCCCTATAATTGGCCTACAGCCAGTTAAAAATGCCTGCCTCATTGCACTTAGGCAAACATACATCCTCATGAACTTTGGAGGTGAAAAATCATTGTTCAACTTCAGGATAAGAGAGCTACCAGGATTGTACTTGGCCACTGTGGAGTAGTAGTCATATAGCCTCTTATATTGTTCCCCATAGTCAACCTTCAACAAAGAAAGAGCATACACCTTGGCCCTGTATGCCTTGTGCAAACTAACCTCAACCCCACAATGCCTCTTGATTTTGTTTTTCAGACTTGGCAGACTCTCAGTAGGATTGTCCCTCAAAGTATCTAGCATTCTTTTTCCAAGATACTTGTAGTCTGCTTGTGTGTTCTCTGTCCTGTAAGCACATGAGTGTGTGCCTTTCAATGTCTTGATTTGAAATGTGGACAAACCTCCAATAACTGAGGCCCTCAAGAACCAGTCACACCCACTCTTACATTTTGCTGTGATAAGCTTGGCTTCATTTTTTGGGAACTTCAAATCATATCCCTTTCTAAAAGACCAATCTCTAATCACCTCCTTAAATGTTGCTCTGCATTCATATTTTTGACCAACCTTCAACTCAAACCTTGACATGTCAGTACCATTAAACCATTCATCAGGCTCTCCAAAGCACTTGTCATCATCCTCAAGGTCACTGTACCAATCTTCTGTTGTAGACCTTCTTGCAGCACCAGCTTCTTTTCTAGCCTTCTTTTTCTGCTTCTTTCTTTGTTTCAGCCATTCTCTTGCCCTCTTGTGTACCTTCTTAGCATGATCATGTTCTCTCTGTTGGAATATATCATCATCATCAGGGCCTTCTAAATCCTCCAATTCCCATTCAGATAAATCTGAGGAATCACCATCACCACTGTCTTCTTGAGGTTCATACTCTGAATCCTCTGAATCTCCAAATTGTTGTTCTGCAACTTCATCTTCAAATTGTTGTTCTGCCACTTCATCTTCAAATTGTTGTTCTGCCTCCTCATGAAGATGGTCCTCCTCATGGCCAACTGTTTGAGATTCTCCTTCATCATGTGAACAGGGTCTTGCACCAGCACTGGTTGTCTCATCTCTGTGGACAGCACCATCAACTGTGGCTTCACAAGCAGCAGCACCAACACCATCCACCTCACCAGCACCATCATCTCTTTGTACAACACCATCAACTGTGGCTTCACAAGCAGCAACACCAACACCATCCACCTCACCAGCACAATCATCTCTTTGTGTAGAATCCACCTCACCAGTACCATCATTTGTTTCTGTAGGATCCACCTCTGAAGCACCATTATGTGTTTCAGCTTCTTTATTTGATTGCAAATCATCTTGGTGTGGTGATTCATGGTGTGGTGATTCTTGGGGCTCTTCAATAAATGGATATTCAATAAGGAGGGGCTCTTCTTGTGAAGACATCACATTGCCTTCTGGGTCCATTATTTGTATAGGGCCTTGCAAATCTTCAAAGTAAAGTGGTATAACCAGCTGCCCTGCATAATGCTTCACCAACTTCAAAATATCTTTGTCAGAATCAATCTTCAGCAACTTCTTAGATGTTTGAAGAGTCTTTCCAGGCTTGTGTGAAAAAATATCAACTGCAGATGCTTTGCCACCTGCTCTCCTATAGACATCCATGATTTCAAAAATGGATAACCTATCAACATCGTACCAGTCAACTGCAACTCTTTGGCCACCAAAGTATCGCCTAAAAGGCAACCATACTATCTCTCCCCCAACTCTAACATCAAACACAACAGCCATTTTCTGCAAACAAACAATATGATTCAGAGCACAATTCAGAGCAATAATAACCCTATTTCCCAACTCGAATAATAACCCTATTCAGAAGCACAAAAATTACATAAAATCCCTAATTCCCAAATATAATAGCATAAAACAAAAAAAGCCCTGATTTCAAAATATGAAAACCCTAAATTCTAAATCCGAAGCACAATATTACATAAAAGCCCTATAAATAATTAAGCCTGATTACAAAATCAAAAAGCCCTAAGTTTCAAACCCTAATTTCAAAATCAGAAGCACAAACAAATAACCCTAATCTTAAAATCGAAAAGCCCTAATTTCAAAAATCATAATCCCTAATTTCCAAAATCAAAATCTCTAATTTAAGTAATCAGATAAAACTGAAAACTGAAGCACGAAGCACGAAAACTGAAAACTGAAGCTATCGTATTTCGCCCAATTTCATCTCAGAAGCATGAAGTCACGAGAACTGAAAACCCTAATTTCAAAATTCACTATATAAATCGACTATAACATAACGAATTAAACGACTATAACTATATACCAGATTCGAATAATACCTTATATGTCTTCAAGATGAAATTCGCCGCAAGTTAGAACCCTAAATTGTCGAATTTCAGAGATGCAATTGGGTGCAACTCCTCAAACAATCTGAATTTAGAGTGACGGGCTTCAATTTTCATATGAATTTAGGGTGCGGGGCTTCAATTTTGATATGAATTTAGGGTGTGGAGCTTCAATTTTTCGAAGGAAAAGTGACGATCGCGAAGAGAGAGAGAGAAATTATGTTTCTGGTTCAAATTGTATAATATAAAATATAAAAGAGGGCATAACGGGAAGTTTACAAAAACATTAACGGGGTTAACACTCAAACATAACTTGGGGAGCGTCAGCTCGTCAACCCTTAATAGAAGGGGGTCCGACGCAATTTTTATATTAGAGGGGGGAAAGGCGCAGATTTAGTATAATACAGGGGGGTTTGGTGCATTAAACCCAAAAGATATCTACTATTACAATTGTTATACTATATTTTAAGGTTCATTTTCCAAAACAAAACAAATCACAAATTCTAACTTCAGTCAAAAAGCACTCGTATTAGGTAGACCACAGTTGAATCTCAGTCGCCTCGTCTGACCCGCCCGCACCATGGCGCGTCCCTCCTCCGCGCCACCGTCGAGAGTGCGCTCATCCTTCGAGAAACAGCGCTTGCATATAAATGACAGGCAAATCCGAGCTTGAAGGACTTTTCGCCTTCCTCCAATATCCAACGCCCTGGCTCTGTGTACTACTACACAATCTACACTGCCCTGTTTCCTTTTTGACCTCCATCTCCCACCTCCTCTCACGCTCGCCGCGCGCGGTGGCGCGTTAATTTTCCTTTCTGGGCATGAGGTGGGTCTACCCCGCCAAAATCGGCGGTGGCGGGGAGGGAAAGGCGGTGGTTTTCCGGTCGAGGCTGAAGTGGGTCGGGCTTTTCGGGCTTGTTCTCTCTGCTTTCTCTCTCTTCACCCACTTTCTTCTCGCGAGGTACAGCGATGGTTATGCCGTCTCTGAGTACAAATCCTCCATTACAATCTTTTCTTGGAGGCCCACTTTCGAGGATGCAGATTTTTCAGCCGGTGTAATGTCATAAAGATCCCACCTTTTTCTTTTGTCATCTTTTTTCTTTGTTGCTTTGATTTGTTGTTTCCCTAAAATTTAAATCTGGGTTCTTTAGTTAGTGTGGCTGGATTCGTGTTTTTCGGTGAATTATGGAAATGAACAGAATTTTTAGGGTGGATTCAGATAATGTGGTGTTTGGTGGGGTCGATTAGTCGGGGTTGTTTTTAATTATACTTCTTTTTGGTTTGCTTTTAAGTGTAATTGTTTCCAAATTCCGATGTGAATATTCTTTTTTTCTGTCCTTGTGTTTGTGAATTATGATGTTCTTTCATCTTTGGGATGTTCTTTTTGCCGTCTTTCTCGGCTTGATGTATGAATTTCCCTTTTAAGGAAATCCATAGCCGCAGTGTACCGTCCTTTGTGGGTTTTAAGTTTTAACTTTGACCTGTGGCAATCTTATTAAGCTGGGTTTTCAAGTTTTAATTTTTTCCTGTGGCAATCTTATCATGCTCCACCTTAATCTCTAGCCATGTTTACCTAATTCTTCAAAAGTTCTCCTTTGCGCAGACTCCATTGCATACAAGGCTTTGGGCTCCAGTTAGGGATCTGGAATCTGTACATCCATATGCAAATCCCAGAGGAAATTATGTAGGTTAGATCTGCTTGCCTTTTCTGTATGCTTCTGTATTACTCTTCAATTACCTATATAAGGAATATACACAGTTCTGTTTGGTTCTTGCAACTCATAAAAATGCAGTCTTTGAGAAAAAAAACTTGAAATATTATTGATAATTGTACTTGCAGTTGATGTTTGATAGTAGATATTTGAACTAGTTATTAGTAGGTTTTCTTTATTGTAAATTGGTTATCTTACAGCTCCTGGCTCTCAAAGTAGTGGATTCGTGTTTGTAAGAATACGAGGAGGTTTTCACGAAATAAGGAACTCGGTGAGAAATTTAATTCAGTCCCAGTAGTTAATTTCACTCATTTTGTCTTTCTCATATTTGTGGAAACTTATCGAAATGTAAAATATTGACAGATTTGTGATGTAGTTGTGGTTGCTCGGCTTCTCAATGCCACTTTAGTTATTCCTGAGATTCAATCCACGACGAGTAGTAAAGGAATCAGGTTGGTATCTTTCTTACATGTAAATATGAAAGTGTTTGAACTTACTGTTTAAACTGATTTTTGGAAAAAAGAAAAAAAAAACTCTAATGTTTATTATTTTCTATGCAGCACAGAGTTCAAGAGTTTTGCCTATCTCTACAGCGAGGATCAATTCATCGCGACTTTAGCGGAAGATATTAAAATCGTGAAGACACTCCCAAAGGATCTGAAAGGAGCAAGGAGGAAGAAAGAAATCCCTTCTTTCAAAGTGCCTTACTCAGCTTCTCCATATTTCTATCTTCACCATGTTTTACCAGTTTTGAATAGGCATTCGGTTGTTGAGCTTGTTGTTCCAGATGGAGGTTGCTTGCAGGTATATCCTAATCTTCTATGTCTATAATCTGGGGCTGTTTTTTTTATTTTTTTATTTTTATGTTGTAACATTTTCTTTCACGTTCCTCTAAAAAGATAAGATTTGATCAGCTACATATATGTAACAACAAAGTTATATGCAGAATTTGAGTATGTAATGCACAAAAGTATAAGATTTTAGAATGTGAAGCCTCTATTTACTTAACTTGAATACTTTTTGTCCATTACTTTTCAATGGTTCAGTTTGCCTTGAATTATCATGATTGAGTTTGAGTCTAATTTTGTTTACTTCTCTTAGCCTGTTTGTTTACTGCTAGGATGCAGAAAAACTAAATCTTAAGTGAGTCTCTGATTGAACAAACATGTATTATATAGGCCCAACTCCCTCCACAACTCGAAGAATATCAGAGGCTGAGATGCCGAGTTTCTTATCACGCTTTAAGGTTCAGACAGGAAGTTCAAGAACTCGCTACCAAGATTCTGTACAGATTACGAGCCTCCGGACGGCCATTTATAGCCTATGATCCTGGGATGACAAGAGATGCTTTGGCTTATCATGGCTGTGCCGAACTCTTTCAGGTGATCATTATTTGAATTTCAGGATAAAGGATTAATAAAACTCTGGTTCATAGAGTTTTACATCATCTAATTCGTATTGTAAACCGATCCTTCTTT